GTGTGTGTGTGTGTGTGTGTGTGTGTGTGTGTGTGTGTGTGTGTGTGTGCATTCTGCAGCCTTAGCCATCTCCAGCGAGGCCTACTTCAGTGCTGTGGCTAAGATGGGTGACCAGGCCATACACACACTTTCATCCCATTCTCTTGGTAAGAGTAACAAATCAGAAAGGACACATGGAAGTTTTTTTTKTGTGTGTGTGTTTGTATCAAGTAATCTGTATTTCTTAAAATATAAAAAAAGAGTTTCAGTCTTGTTCATGCAGTCTCTGGTATAATGATACAATAGCTACTAATAAATCTAAGTTGAAGCTCATGTTGTGTTTACATGTGTACACAGTATCATGCATACAGAATTGATATATTCTCAAGTATTCTAACCTTACAAAGTGCAAAAGCTTTAATTATGATCATGTTAACATGTTTTATTAAGAGAATAAGGCATAGCACAACAGATATTTGTCTAAGCTTTAGGTAGTTCTAAGTGTGAGGGTCAGGGAGCCACAGTGTGACGTGAGCCCTCTGAAGTGTAAGCCCTTGAATTATAAATGAGGAAAGTCATTCAACTGCACTCAGTTCAGTAGCTTGTTGATACAGCCCGAGGCACCCATAATATAAAGAGTTTGATAACCTTCCACCTTCTTCACAATTTGGCTCGTTAGACCCAACAAGTCTTGATGACTTGGATGTTAAAGTAGCATATCAAGTAACTGAGTCTTTTTCAACAAACTGCCTCCTAGCTGTTGTAAATGAACACAAAGGTTCTGTTACTGAAGCCTAGTGTGAAAATAATTATGCACATTGTTTTTGTGTTTTACTATAACTAAAATTAACAGAAACAATTACGTAAAATTAAGCATTTTTAGGTCTACATACAATATTCAAGTTGTGTTTGTGACAGATGTGTGTGTGTGTTGGTCCTTTCTGTTTGTCAATCAAATCTGTGTGTTGTTTTTAAAAAAAGGGGATGTCCTGATCCAGATATCTGAAACGCAGCGGAGACTCACTGCAGAGATGGAGGGAGTGGTCAGTACATGCTAGGCAACGTGACAAATTCAAAACGGTTATAAAGAATCACCAAACAAAATGTGTACAAGTTTTAGTATTGAACAAAGTTGGTGACAAAACATTGTATTTTTAAAAGTAAATATGGTTGACCTAAAAAGGAGCACATTTGTATATGCAGTAGATTTAGTTAATTCAACCAACTTGACAGTCAAGGCTACGTGTTTAAACAACAAAACAGTTAAAATAAGGATTTTGTTACATCAAATGTGTAATTGTTATTTTTCCTGCTACAGTTTCAGTGGTTCCAGATTGAGGTGTTGCAAGCAATGGAGAAGAATATCAAGCTGGATGAGGAGTACATTGAAGTGAGTTTACTTTAATTATCTGTAGCTAATTAGAGGTTTTGCATGTATTCAGTCAATTATTCATGTATTTTTTTATTCAGCTGTGAAATAATAAGCAGAATAGCTTACTTTGTACAAGGCGGTAAAATGTTCACAAAGGTTTTTGTGTTTAGTTTTCCCAGATAAACTAATATTTAGGGGTTCCTTCTTTGTTTCTAATTATGTTGAAGTTAATTTGTGTAAAACCTTAAATTAACCAACACAGAAATAATAAATTACACTGCTAATGCAGAAATGAACTATGCAATCATCTAACTGAAAATTCCTAAAACTTTACATGAATCAATAACTAATAAAAATAATTGTCTCGGAGCTGTTCATGTGATGTCAGCATGATGAAATAAGTCATTCAGGTTTCTGTCCTCACATGCTTACAGTCGCAGTCATCAAAGAGTTCTGACATCTTACATTACTGCATTCAGAACAAGCCAAAAAGGCATTTAACAATTGTTTTAAGAGAAGAGAGAATCCAGCTCTTGTAAGGAACATCATCTTGATAATTACTTAAAAACAGGTCAGCAGAACTTTCACATGCTGCACTGCTTCTTTAAATGTAGCCAATAGGCAGTGGTGGACAAAGTACTCAACTCTAGTACTTGAGTAAAAGTATTGATACTCATGGTCAAATCTACTCCACTACAAGTAAAAGTTACTCAGTCAAAAATCTACTCAAGTAAAAGTACTGAAGTACTTACTTTTGAAAATACTTAAGTATTCAGAAGTACATGCATTTTAAAGTACTTAAGTACAAAGTAAAAGTACAAATTACATTCTCTTTTTTACTTTTCTTTTTTTGTCACTTCAGTAGAAAACAAAACTAAATATTAGTTTATTTATTTTATTTATTTCTTCATCATCAGTGACTTTTTTAAGTGAAGAGAAAATAGAGACAGAGAGAAAAACAGAGAGAGAAGTAATTAGAAAGATAGAAAGATTGAAATAGTGATTAGAAGTAAAATAAATATACACCAACAAAACACAGGATCACACACCCAACATCTGTCCACTCACCTGAAAAATAAATGGATAAATACATGGAGGGCATACATAAAAATATACACATACCCATACATATATAGAGATATACATACATACATGCCTACATTCATAAATATTGTCAGTATATACACACTCAGTGACCCGTCAGAACCCCTGGATCAGAGCACCTGTCTGTGAGCAGTTGTGAACATGTGTGTATATACAAGATTTCTCCAATGGAATATTTAATAGTGACTGTGGAGGACCGAGACCCAACCCCCAAGACACGAGGCAGACATAGGGAAGACCAGAGCCCAAGGGTCTGAGAGGGATCCCGAGCACAGAGCCCCAAGGGGCACCCGCACGGTGCTCTAAGCTAGCAGTTAGCACACAATGGTCGGCTATTTTTCAATCATCTCTCACAGCATTAAACCACAACCACTCTAACTAAACTCAACTTCATTTAAAGCGTTTAAACTGGTGAGAAAAATGTTTGCTGACTTACCTCAATGTGCTTTCTCAGGTTAGATGGTGAGTTATGGAATGCTGAAAGGTACTTTACCCGTAGTAAACAGAGAAGACATTTGAACTGATACGTATTATTTTTAAGTCCTAAAACCTCGAACATTGAACTGAGATGTGGCCATGGGTGTGCTGGTTTCTCTGCTTGCGTTTCCTCAATGGTTTCCATTGCATCTTCTTCTTTTGTCTGGTTCTGCTTGAAATGAAAGTAAAGTGATGGGAGCGCGCGCTCCGCTACCGAGAGTTAACGAGTGTGACGTAGGCTATAAGTTACGCATGTGATTGGTTACCTTTGTGACGAACATAGCTTGTGGCCAATTGCATTTCATGAAAAGAAAAACCGGAACAACAGATTTTTTTCTTTTTTTTTTTTTTTTACAGCGGATTATAATATGCTGATCTAAAAGTAACAAGTAACTACAAGCTTCCTAGAAATGTAGTGGAGTAAAAAGTACAATATTTGTCTTTGAAATGTAGTGGAGTAAAAGTAAAAAGTTCCCAAATAAATAACTACTCAAGTAAAGTACAGATACTCAAAAAATGTACTTAATTACAGTAATAAAGTAAAAGTACTTTGTTACTGTCCACCACTGCCAATAGGAGACAGAACAGCCTGTCTGCGTAAACATTACTCAGTGCACCACATACTGAGACCTCCAGGAGGACAAAAGAGCTGTGCTTGCTGTGCTGCAGGGGAGTCGCAGAGTGTACGAGCTGGAGGTGAGGAACCAGGCCGAGGCTTTGGAGAAACAACTCAGACGAGGAACCTTCAGAGACTCTCTGGTACAAACACAAACACAAACAAACTTCTGAACTTCTGTTTGTGTATTAGCATGTCATGGTGTGCGTGTTTTCAGGAGAACAGCGAATACATGATCTACCTAAAGCAAAGCCAGCAGGAGATCCTGAAAGAGGAGGAGAGGAGGTATCGCTTCTTGGCAGAGAAGCACTGTGGCCTCTCCCAGTCACTGCTGTTTCTTATAAACAAGGTAAAGAAACAAAAGTTTTGCACAGCAGCACCTGACTAAAGTTTATTACACTGCTCCTTTCTCACAGCGCGATAAGCAGCATTCCTCATAATGTGTGTTTGATGCAGTCTTGATGTAGTTCTGACCTTTAGGTGTTTTTGTAGTGAGACCACACAAAACATGTTGTCTTGTAATTATAGCCTTCTACCAGTAGAGGGTTCTGCTGGCCCTTTAGTACCACTGTCCTCATCTTCTTCAGCTGTTCCATTCAGTAGGCTACATCAGCTTTTAAGCATCTCCATTCTGCACATGTTATGTCATTTTAATTGCTTCGTTATTTGATAAAACTCAACTCTGTGTGCACCATCAAATTTCCTGATGTGTTAATCTTGTTTCTACCTGATTGGGTTGAGATTTAATGAGGCGCTCATGTCTCTTATCTGCATGCAGACTGGTGCATCCCTGCAGCAGAAGGCAGATGGATGGAAGGAGAAGGTGAATGAGACCAGAGGGTCCAGACCTCGAACTCCCAACCATTTGGATCAAGAGGCGCAAGTAATRGCGGCCATTATTATTCCCTAATGCAGTACAGTGGTATCCAACACATTTCACAGCCTGTAATGAAGCTATGCCTGTTTGAGCTACCAATGCGCCTGTGCAGGTTTAGAATCTTGATGAATTAAAAAAAATCTTCTCTTTTTTAAAACGTTTTGAATTTCTTAAGTAGTTTTTTGTTTCTGTAAACTAAATCTTTAAAATCCCTATAAAAACACTCAATGTACACAGAAGCATTTATTTTTTAAAAGATTTTAATCTTTGTGCACTAAGCTCCGAGGATCAGTGAACTCCCTGCTGCAAACAGTAGCCAGAGATGAGGATATGTCCTGGGCCAAGCGGGAGCAGCTGGCACTGGGTCGAGTGCCCTCGAGAGGTGAGAAATTAAACGCTCTCACTTTCATTTGACGCGTGTTGGCAATTGACAAGATATGAAGTCAAACAAGTGCAGCAATCATTCACAAATACCTTAAATATTCTCATATTGTATTATTTCTCTGCCTCTTTTAATTCTCCCTGCTTGTTTTCTGACCCTCCAGCACCATCTCCCCTTCCCAGCCGCTCCCGCTCCAGCTCGGTGGGGGAATCTTTGGGTTTGGGTGGAGGAAGAACCATGAAAGCCGTGGTGTCTCACCCTTCCTCATCCAACCCCAAACTTCTGCCTTTCAGTAGAGGAGAGACCATCATTGTGCTGGTGCAGGAGCCACGGAATGGCTGGTTGTATGGACGCACAGACAGCAGCCTGCGGTGGGTTCATTTAGGAGTTATTTCTACTTGGTCATACATGTGCAGGAGCTAAAATTTTATTATTAATCACCTGGGTTTATTTAAGTTTTAGTTTGCAACTTCTTTCTGTAAAGATGTCCATGGAGAAATCTCCATCATTTTCATACTTTTACTACTGAAATATTCTGGCTTAGTTATGGTAGTTATGATCATATAAGTGCATGCTGTAAGGAAGTAAGGTCCGTCTCAAAAAATTGGCATTTTGTGATAAAGTTCATTATTTTCTGTAATGTACTGATAAACTTTAAACTTTCATATATTTTAGATTCATTGCACACCAACTGAAGTAGTTCAAGCCTTTTTATTGTTTTAGTATTGATGATTTTGGCAAAAAAGTAAAGAAAAATCAAAAATCCCTATCTCAAAAAATTAGCATATTTCATCAGACCA